TTTCTTTCTTTCTTTCTTTCTTTCTTTCTTTCTTTCTTTCTTTCTTTCTTTCTTTCTTTCTTTCTTTCTTTCTTCTTTCTTTCTTTCTTTCTTTCTCTCTCTTTCTTCTTTCTTTCTTTCTTTCTTTCTTTTTCTTTCTTTCTTTCTTTCTTTCTCTCTCTCTCTTTCTTCTTTCTTTCTTTCTTTCTTTCTTTCTTTCTTTCTTTCTTTCTTTCTTTCTTTCTTCTTTTTTCAGTACTGGGATGGAACTCTGGGCCTTGTGCTTGCCAGGCAGGTGCTTATGCTGCTGAGCTATCACTCCGGCCCTCCATTTGTTGATATGAAGCTATCACAAATCTCCATCTCCTAAATTCCAGTAAATGCTTCATCATAGACTGGAATGTTTCCACAATGCCAGTGAGGGCGGGCCAGGACTGACCATGGACCTACAGGAGGCCCAAGAATGATTTGAAGGTCGCTGGGAAAGTTACCTGTGCCAGTGACTTCGAATTCATGCTTGTAGTAAAATCACTTACTGAATGTGCTAGAAGTTAAAACCCTGGACTCCACTCATGGCCATACAGCCTAATATCAGTCCATCCAGTCACCAGACAGGTTGCTAGGGTTGGGGCCAGACTGCCTCCGTCAGAATCACCTCTTGTAAAATTCCAGCATGGCTCGCTTTCTCCATAGAACGCACCTCTGCTGTCTACCAGAGGCTCTCTACCTAATTATGTTGAAATTTTTCAAAGTAAAATTATTCAGATTCCATTCTTGTTCCATTAAAAGCCTAGTAATCATAGCAACCTACTTATAATTCCAGTACGGCAGAAGCCACACTTCTAAACTTGGGCAGACGCGCTGCACTGAACTATCCTGAAAGTGTGCAGTGTTATTTCCTTAGTGACCAGGGCTCCGCTCGCACTTCTCTGGTCCTCCTTGCCTCATGTCCACACCATCTGTGCTCATCTGGACTTCCTTGCACATAATGTGAGTTCACCGGTTTTTACTTTCTTCTCTGAGCTTCTGGCCTTGGGCTGTACTGTATTTTTGTTCTCCTCTTATCCTGGACTTCCTCAGGTGTTTTTATTTTAACTCTATCCCATTCCCTTCTCTTTCTGCTTCCACTTTCCCCTTCCACCACCTTTGTTCAAAACCCATCTATTTCTTCTTTTCCTCTGGGCCACCTAATACTATATTTTAACATTGTGGTTCTAAGAATTAATATCTGAACTAGAAGAGCTTATGCTGCTATACATTTTCAAAAGGCAAGTTTCTGTGAATGCATCCTTGTGTCCTTGGAACTTGAGCTGCCTTACTGGAGCCTGATGGGGACAACTTCCAGGACAGCAGTAGAGTGACTTCCGGTGGCAGAGCTGCTTCCCTTCTCCTCTACTGAGCCCTACCTCGCTCCCACCATTGCCTCCCCATGGTGGCCTGATCTTCCTTGAACTCTAGAATGGTCGTGCTATGATTTAAGGTCACTGCTGGAAAGCTCTGACTTGTCTCTTGATACATATTGTCTGCAGCCCCCCTAAATATGCAATACTTGGAGAAAAGTGAATTTACTGCTTTCCTTCCTCCAAGCTGCTTTATGTCTTCATTTGCATCACATTTACATATTATTAACATCACTGAACTCAGTGCTCTCTGCTCTATCTTTGTCTTTTGTGTGTCTTTCTCCTTCAATAGATTGTAGGGTGTTAATAGCCAGGCACATCTCTTTTGATCCCTATGGTGTTTTTGTAAAATGTCATCATTCAGGGATGTTTTTCAAACAGCCGAATGTTATGCCAAACAGTCAGAAACGCTTGCTCAAATGGATAGGAATTGCCAAGAGTGTGTTAACTAGCCTGCAAAACAGGCAGATGTTTACACGCAGAGAATTCCAGTGAAGTTGGAGGCAGAGGCAGGTGTGCAAACAAATGACCCAGCATGGAGCCTGCGGCCAGGACAGGCAACTGCTACTCCCTTTGGGCACAAGGTGGCAGACCATGTCCACTTCTTTCAACCCATATAGGGAGCTAGCAGAGGCTGAAGTTTTCTGCCCTATTTTGGAAACCTATGTTTATTTTGTTTTAAAACAGAAGATAGTGTAGCTTAATGATTGAAACCAGATTTGGATAAAGCCCAGGCCCCGCGCCAGACAGCAGGGTGTCCTCTGTGTCTCTGACCCTCTCTGTTTGGAGCATCTCCTTCCGAGAGCAGTGTGTCTGGGTGTTGGGGCATTTATGGTTCCTTTAAGTGGAGGAAGAAAATATGAACCTGCCAGTGTTTTAATGAAGTGTCCGTGAACACTCAGGCCTGGAGAGAGGAAACAACCTGGGTAACTGTGATGCAACTTCTCTATTATGTAACCAACTGGGACAGAAGGCCTCTGGACGCACCCACCTAGAATGGCCCAGAGAAAGTATCACTCTCTTCACTCCTTTGTGTTTCTTTTGTTCCACTCCAAGTTTGTACATGATCAGACTATCCACAACCTATCCCACAATATATCTAGGAGGAGGGTTCTTATTTATTTGTAACTTAATTTTAAAAATATATATATTTAGTACAGGGGCTACAGGGTCTCGCTATGTAGATCAAACTTGTAGTGATCCTCCTGCTTCCAGCCTCCCAAATGCTGGGATTATAGGCACCCACCACCACACCCAGTCTTAGTCACCGTCTCAGGGGCGGGGCTGGCATGGCACACCAGGGATCAAACCCTGGTCCCTGAGTCTGCCTAAGCAGGCACTTTAGTCCACTGAGCTATCTGACTGGCCCTTGTATTTTAAATTTTGATATAGGCTTTTCATTAGTTGTCTTGATGCTTTTCTCTTTTTTGCTAATATTATCTCTTTAAAAGAAAAGAGAAATAAGAGAAATAGCTTACTAGGAAGTTCTAGCAGTGATGAGTAAGGCCTTTTCATGGATACTGAATTCTAATACGTGCGGAAGATGGAAAACAAATGCAGGAGAAAAAGACATATTAGGATCTGCTTAGTATTTTATCTATCTATCTATCTATCTATCTATCTATCTATCTATCTATCATCTATATGACACATAACCTGTGCGTATGTCCTCTCTGTATACATCCACATATGCAAGATGGATTATGTAGTATAGACATCTCTGTAATATGCAGTAGTACAGTGAGTGATAAATAGCCAAACTGGATTCAGGCTGCCTAGGTACAAATCCCAGCGTACTATTTGGAGCAGTAAAGCTCTATGTGTCTCAGTTTCTTATTCTTATCTATAAAACGTAGTCATAGCCATATGATAGGGTAGCCACGCAGATGAAAGGGTTCAACAGAACACCACAGGTGGCGATCTTCAAATCATGCTGACCATTATTGTAGTGTGTTTGCTCACACCCGTGTGTGTGTGTGTGTGTGTGTGTGTGTGTGTGTATAGAACTGGACTGTTGCACAGTTTCTATTGCCCCTTTGGTTTAATTTTTTTTTTCAGAACCAGACCTTTGCGCTTGCCAGGCAAGCACTTATTCTACTGAGCCATCTCCCTAGCCCCTGCCCCCTTGGTTTAGTAAAAAGCTTCTTCTGTCTACCAATATGGAGGTCAGATTTTCAGACTACAATAATAAGAAAAAACTAATGGAGACTGAACACACAAGGAAGATTTGTCTCACAAAGCAAAGACTCTTCAAACAGGAAACATCTCTAGGCCAGTTTTGTTCTTTTCCGCATGGCCACAAAATAGCTGCTGTACTCCCAGACATCACAAAGAAGTATATGAGATAGGAAGGAGTGAAGTTGTGCTAATTCCTCTTACCGGGAGCAAAGCCTTTTGGAATTCCCTCTCCTTCCTTTTCAGAAGACCTGTGTTGAGCTTCCAGAACTGTGACACAGGGCCACAATTAGTTAGATAAGCATCTGGCTAAAGGGAGCTAAAGCACTACTAAAGGAAGGAAGAAAAAGAAATAGGCTGGGAATAATTTGGAATGGCCAATAATATTTGTCATACTGAGTTTTTGACTGGCTTTTCCATTTCTGTTTCTCCTCAAATTCTTCCCTTGTCTTCACTCCACCTTAGTCTCCTGTTTGGAAAGAGACAGCATAGATTGACATGGTGAACAAGAGCACATTTCAGGACTACAAATGTAGTAGGAGCTCATCGCTGTGCAGAGCAGCAAAGTGTGGAGATGAACCTGAAACAGATCGCCTCTGCCTGCACAGAGGAGGGCTTCGAGTGACCTCAGCGGGCTGGCAAACTCACACCCACTGCCTTTGCCACAGGCAGAGCTTCCCTGGTTGAAATCCTGCCTCACAAGCAGCAGGATTCCTCATAGATCATCCGCTAACAGATTGTCATGGAGAAATATTGTTTATTTCCATGCCTGCAGAGCAAAACATATAGCAAAGGCATTTGTGACATTCACAAACATTACAAATGACACTCACTCAAATGCTGCCTGCTACATAATAAGTGTATTTTGAAAAAGCACTATAACCTTGACTAGATTCATACTATGATCATTAAAATAGCAAATTCCCACTCTACACACCAAGAGGCCAGGATTCCAAGCTTGCTAAGCCCCTGCCCTTCTCCAGTCAGCTGTCGGGGACTCTGTCCTCTACTGCCCATTGCAATGCAGTGGGGTGACCCAGGGCACTAGTGGCCACCACTCTCACTTGAGCTGCTGCTGTCAGAGGACTCACTGCTATCACCCCTCCTAGGGGAGCTGAACCCCCTGTGAGAATGGGTTCTTCTGTAGGCCCAGGAGCCCCTCCTTTGTGGCCCACCCTTGCCTGGCACAGTGTCATTCTGCCCATGGGATACATAGGGAGTCTTCCTGCGGTGTGTTATTCTACTCCCCTCATTGTGGGGGCCATAATGGGAACTGACTTCATTATCAAGACCATGAAATGGAATAATCAGGCCCTGGCTTTCCCCCTTACCAGAAAATTGGTGTTTTTCACTTAAGGTCACTTGGTTCCTACCAGAGAGCTCTGTAGCTTTTCTAGTAGCACCTGTGCCATGCCTGGGAATTTCATTGTGAGTGGCACTTTCTGTGGAAACTCCACTTCCTCCTTTGGTTTGCCCTTGCAAGGGCACACCTGGATAATGAAGCTCTATTTTCCCCCGGTGAGCATTCTGGCTGCTGGTGTCCACTCTGTTTCCTTCCTTCCCTGGGAGGTCCCTGAAGTTGGTGCTGCCAGTGATGTCGCTGCTGCCCTCCCCTGTCTCCTTCACAGTCTCGGCCCTGGCTGTGAGGCCATGGTCCCCACCTTCCTCTCCCTCTGGAATCTCATTTGGCCCCAGGCCCCTTGTGTCAGCATTTATAGGCTCAGTTTCACTGAGACCTAAGAGCCCTGTTTGTCTATCTGTGCTTTTTAGGTCAGGACCACCAGCTTCTCCTTTGCGAAGGACGTCTTTAAAAGGTTGGCCATCTCCACTGAAAGGAGAGCTGTCACTGTCCCCTCTCCCTTGGAGATCTGTATAACCACTGCCTTCAAAATCACTGGGGATTCTTCGAACTTTGGAGAGTTGTGGCAGGTAGTGGGTGCTGCGTCGGATTCGCCAAGTACTCTTGCCTTTTACGGGGCTATTTTGGGCTCTCGCAACTGGCTGATGACTCTTCTTACCTTTGGAGTGGGCGTTAGCATAGTTGACATCTGCTGGAATTTTTCTTGGAATGTTTCTAGGGCTCTTATCCTTGTCTTCCTCCCACTGTTCTGTCACCGTCATTGGCCTCCGAACACTTTGCATCTTGTTTCTGACAAGAGCTGTGTCATATCCTTCTTGGACAACTGGGCTCCTGGCACTATTGCCACCATCTGCAGCTCCTTTGGGCCCAGTGGATTCAGGATACATGGGAACCACTCGGTCCTCATGGGCCTTCCCTTTGCCAATGACTCTATACTCTTCCTTCCGAGTTTTTCTGTTTGCAGAGAGATGTGGGGATTTACTACTTTGGCTATTGCCATTGGCTTCAAAAATGGACACAACTTTCTCATTTTCCAAGACACTATTTTCATGATATGACAGCTCTTGGTTTCTTCTCTTGTCAAAGTGATGAAGAGCAATATGGCCTTTGCTTTTTTCTTCCTGCTAAAGTACAATTTTCAATATAAAGTGATTATTATAGCAGTTTTCAAAATCTGTTCATTCTTAGGCAACATTTTAAAAACTAACCCTACATATAATCAATGGAAATAAGCTTTTAATTCAAGAGAGATTCATGGGTAGAGATGAATGGCTGTAGCAGAATTCACAACAAAAGAAGCACAAACAAGATCTGAGAGATGAGTAGGGGTTGGGACGTGCTACAGGAAGAGGTGAGAATCATTCAGGGGTCAGCAGCAGAGCCCATGGATTGCAAACAGAATCACTGAAAGATGATCCAAACAAACCTATACAGCTGGACTGGAAAGATCCTAAAGAAGAGAGCAAGAAGTCAATTTGGAAGTACCGATTAGGGACAGATTTTGAAGGAGAATGAGAATTTAAGGAGAATATGATTGAAGAATATGACTCTCATACGTACAGTAAGTGAAATGAATTTTATGTTCTTATTCTCTCCCCACTTCCCACCCCTACAGGGGCCCCTGACCATCAGAAGTTCAGTTATTTATCTGCCTAGAGGACAATATTATTCTGTTCCTTTCGTTTTCTTATTTTTGCTTTAAAATATAATCTACAAATAGAAGTACCTAGATAATACTGAGCTTCTCAATTTCAAGCAAAACTTTTTACACCAAGATGTTTCTATTCTGTTCATTGTCTGGAAAAGGATTCATGAATTTTCTTCTTCCTTTACTGTACAACAAGATGAATCCGATGATCTAGATTAGTTGCTCTTAATTTAGCACCTCGCAGAATTATCTGGAAGACTTGCTGAAGCAAAGGTTGTTGGGCCATGATTTCTGATGTCCATGATTTCTGGCTCAGCTGGGTGGGGGGGTCTAGAATGTGCATCTCGACAAGTTCTTAGGTGATGTAGCCACTGCTGCTCTGGAGGGTTAAATTTTGAAAACCTCTGTTCTATATCAGACATTTCAGTAACAATGGCCTAAGGAAGAAAATTCCCTGGGAGAAAAGTAAATAGAAAAGAGAAAATGGAGAACAGTAAAATGTTTACACACACACACACACACACACACACACACACACACACAGAGCTCTAACACTGCTCCTTGTCTGAGGACAGCAAGTCCTCCTCTCTATTGTGGTGGAAGCCTGGTGTGTGTGTGTGTGTGTGTGTGTGTGTGTGTGTGTGTGTGTGTCTAGGAGGTAGTGCATGGTTTAAGCCACTCCAGGATGCCTGCTTAGAGAAAATGCAGGAATAAAGATCTCAGCATGTTTACTTAAAAGAGGCTGGAGGATTTATTGAAAGAACTGCTTTAATTACTTAGATAACTCCAACTTTATACAGACTAAAAAGAATTTATCTGCACTGTCTCATTACCCTCTAACCCCTCCAGTAGGCCTTCATCTAAGATCTTATACCCCAGGCCATTTAGGCACAGAATAAAGGCCATACATACTTTCTTTCCAGCACTGACGTGTAGTATGAATGAGATTTCACAAGGCCACTACATCAGCCTATGTACTTATAAGTGACTCAGAATCTTAGATGAACATATTGAGATATGTAGGAGAGTGACTAGGTGCTACATGTTCTGAGCGGCATCTCATGGCTTACTGTTGGAATTGTGCAGGGACCTGGTGGGGTGTCCTATCTTTCATTACGCCTCTGTGCTCAGGCCCACCCCCAACTGTGGCCATGGGATCCCATATCAGCTGCAGCCTCTGAAATGACCTTGTTAGCCCAGGCACATAGCATCTATTACCTCCCATAGCCCTGTTTTTATCAACCCAGCCTGATTTTGTTGTGTCTTTCCTGACAACACTTCAATCTGACCATATGATCATCTTCCAGAATCGGTTGATTAAGGATCTATTGAATAAGTGAGAGCTCCCCTTTGGAGAAAAAGAAAGAAGCTGGTGGGAAGCTGATGTTTTGGTGGTGAGCGTGGGGAAAAGAGAGCAGAAAAGATGGAAAAACCGGATTTGGGAAGCCAGGGTCATAGAGAGTGGCAACATCATGGGAAATAACAGACAAGAGTTGCCAAATGGTTTTCTTAATCTCTCAGTTGAGTGCTCACTGGAAGAAGTATCATGAAAAGAAAGCAGGTATTAGAATCAACTGCCCAGCTCTGTCACTGGGTGGCTTTAGGAGCCATAAGTTAAGAAAAGTGACACCTTTTGAGGATTGTTGGAAAAATTAAATTATTTTATCACATGGTCTAATGTATGTAAAACACTTAGTATGTCTACATTAAAACATTCCAGATAAGTGACCACAAAGATCATGTCATAGAACTGTGCCGAGCTTTGTGGAAAGGCAGCTTCTTTTCCCGCAAAGTGTCGGTGACAGTTTGTTGAATTAGGGTGCATGGGTGTCTAGAGTTCTCTAACAGGCCCACAAGGGCCCCTGGAGTGCCTCAACATTGCCATCTGACTGGGATCCGTAGGCTCTTGGTCTCTGGCAACCTGCAATCTAAAATGGATTGATTTGTTCTGCTTTTCTTTCCAACTTCCTTTTCCGCCCTTCTCCTGTCCCCTGCCCCACATAGAAGTACTGTTCTATTTGGAGGACTGCCTGTTTTTATACATGTCTCTTATTAACTGCTGCAAGTTTTGGAAGAATTGTTGAGTCAGCTCATACCTAAAACTGGAGATAAAAATCGTCTCTGGAATTGCACTCTGTTCCTCCGAAGCTTGCTAACACAGTCAGCAAAAGTGCAACTTGTGGTGATGGCAAGATAAAATATAAAATGATTTATCTGTGGAATAATGAAACAATTATTCAGTAATATTTTATATTTCCAGATGTATTCTGAGAAGAGTATAAAATTTGGCCATGAGAAGACAGAAACAAGCTTTGCATTGAGTTATTTCTGAATAAAAAGAGTTTTAAATATTTAACTTAGTTTAAATCATTGAGTCTTGGGAAGTTTTACTTGGACCTTTTTATTTTCATTGTAGTCAAGTTCATTAATGCATTGCTAAGATAATCTTTTGAATAAAATAGTGGGAGGAAATTCAGTAAATAAAAATAATTCCTTCTTGATTTTTTTTTCTTCGACAGAGTAGGAAGTTTTATTTTTGATGCACCCACTGATTTTAAATGTGTGGCAAGTCTATTAATGAACTTCATTATTAGACTGGAGATAATTCTTTCATAAAGAAAAATATGCAACAATGCTTGAGCTGTGCTCACAATGGGGAAAATATTTTAAAATGAGAAACGTTTGTGCTTTCACTCGTGTTAGCGATTCCTAGTGACCTGCTGGCTGCCTGCGGTCTCTGGCTCAGCTGGCTGCTCTGTCTTCCTGTGTTCCAGGGCTTGGTCCATAGTTTTTTCCTAAGAGAAACAGTCTCTGCCACATGTGTCTATTTCATCAAATCCTAACCACCCTCCCAGGCCAGCTCAGTTATTCCCATTCTGTAGCATTCCCGAAACATTAGGCAGCAAATGGTTTCCTTCCACCCCAAGCTCCTAAAATATGATCTTATGTTTCACCATTCAGATGACATTTTCTGACTTCTGTCTTGGGTTCTGATGATGATTTTTGAAAGTTCCTTTTGTTTCTTTTCCAAGATCCTGGATAGAACAATCAAGTTTCTCGGTTGTTTATTCTCATGCAGCATCTTACACAATTGGAGGAGCCCAACATGCAGGCATCATGATGAATTCTAACTAATTTTAACAAGCAATTAGAGGCTGCCTTAGCCATGCTGTGCAAAGGATATTGAACTGAAGCAAGTAACAGCCTCAAAGAAAACTGCCACTTCCAGAGGAAAGGAAGCCAGATTTGTAAAAGTAAATAATCCTTTCGCTGATGGCATTTTAAGCTGTTTCCGGCCCTTGGGGCAATGACCGGGCGGAAGAGAATGGTGAAAAGGGTCATTGTCATCCCATGACAAGGGCCTCCTTCTTTCTCTTTGAGCATCCGGCATCTTGAGTGACCATGGAATGAATTTAGGAGACACTAAGGCGTTTCACACTTTGGTCCCAAGCCTCTTCCCTGGTAACCTTCCCCTGGTGAAATCCTGCATAGTGGCAGTGCATGGAGAAGCCTCAAGGTCACGCATTCTCAACAACAGGGCAGCTGGTGGCACGTGGGCTCCACAAGACCATGTTATAGCTGCAGACTCTGAAGCACAGTGGGTCTGGGCCAGGGGATGGGGCAGGGTCCAGAAGACACTAGGTAGCAGAGCTGCATAGCACCGGGGTTTGGGGAGCCTGGGATGTGGCGGATGGAGAAAGGCCTGATTACAGGTGGAAACCTCAGAGTAGGCAAAGCTGGACTGAGTCTCTGTCTCTTCACAACTTCTACAGGGTCAGTCCAGGATGTGCTTCAAGAGAAGAAATCTAGCTCACCGTCTGTCAGTTTGACCTTCATCTTCCCAAGAGATGGGTAAACACATTTAAAAACAGAATGCCCATTTTTTCATGATGACCCCTGTACATATCTACAAAATCACAGTATAATGACAAGGTGGGTTTGTCCTGCAAAGAAGTTCTCTTTTTCATAATACAGTACAAGGTGTTTTTACCTTGGGGAAAATCAGTCGCCAGTTTGCTTCCGACAAGTGGTAGTACTTCTTTTCACCACTGGAGGGCGTAAGTCAGCCAGCCCCTGAGCACAGAAAATTGCTCCTGCCTTTCGCTGATCTCCAAGTTTTCCCCTACGTGGTCTGTCAACTGCTCTTCCTCCCAGGGTATGATTTAACCAGCAAATTTCAATGGAAATAGAACATGTGGATATATTTTCAGATGAGAGGGTGAGGGATCGGGGATAAAGGCAGCTTTCATGATACTTGTGTCTCATGTTCAATTTATAAAACGCACAGCGTGAACATTCAGGTTTTTAAGTTTGTGATTTTAGCCCGTAATTTTCAGCTGAGATAAAGAACAAAAGATTGTTAGTTCTTAGAACAGAATTTTCTGAGAGCGCCAGGAGACCCATGGTAGGCAGAAGTAAGCCGCACTTTTGTGCAGCTGCAATATTTGCTTTGCTCTCTGGACACACCTAGATGACTAATCTCAGGGACCCTGATTCTCCAGTAAGATCTGCCCACTGACTTCCTTTTACCTTATTTATCACTTTTCTGTCGTGTGTGTGTGTGTGTGTGTGTGTGTGTGTGTGTGTTTGAGAAAGAGCTGTTTGTTAGGAACAATACCCCAGAGTTCTTCCCCGCCTTGCAAGTTGCCTACCAAGCCACTGTTTCCTATGAAGGAAGAAATCAGGCTTCAGAGAAAAGCTCTCTGTCTGCAAAGACTTCTTTTGTTTATGTCACACACTGTGTGTGAATTATAATGCTTGGTTCACGAGAAAGTACCCAAATCATGTTGAAAAAGTTTTGTTCTTCCACTCTAAGCACCCAAAAGTAGTGCCTTTTTCTTTTTTTTCCCTCTTTTTGAGACAGGGTCTCACTATCCTGTTCAAGCTGGCCTTGATCTCACTTTGTAGCCCAGGCTGGCCTTGAACTCACAGCAATCCTCCTGCCCAGGCCTCCCAAGTGCTGAGATTACAGGCACGCGCCGCCACACCTGGCTCCAAGAGTAGTTGTAAAGTTAACAATTTCTCTTATTGACCTTTTCTTTGCAGTCAAAATAAAGTTGAAAAGAATAACTCTGCGCACCCTCTGTCCTTCTACTTGGCCTCGCCTAGTGTTCACAGTCTGCGGTTGAAATGTCTGCAGGGAAACCAGGACATAACTTCACCAAACAGAACATTCTCTCATTCATCCTTCAAACAACAAGTGTTCCATTTATTTTTCTCTCCCTGGGAAACATTATTTAACATGAAAAATTGTTCTGACCAAACAAAGGTGGATCCACTTGTCCCTTTAGTATTTATTTTAGGGTTACATGAGAGAGAGAGATGAGAGAGAGAGAGAGAGAGAGGGAGAGAGAGAGAGAGAGAGAGAGAGAGAGAGAGAGAGAGAGAGAGAGCGCGCGAGAGAGACTGCTCCAGCTCCAGCTCCAGCTCCAGCTTTCTTCCCCCAGAAACCGGCAGTGCCACCACCATCACAGAGCAGATTCCAGCACTGAGAACCAAAATGGCCTGGTGCGGTGGGGACAACAGTGTGGCACCTAGGTGAAGAAGCTCGGCTGCCATTGGTGTCCACTGAGAAAAAGCTCCCACTCGCACTGGTGTTGTTGCGTGTAAGGGGGCTAACCTCGGTTCTGAGCTGTGGGTGACTGTGTAAGCTAGGGGGCTGCCACCCGGGATTTAGATATGATGGTGCTGAAGGTTTATCAGGAGTTAAGTCATTGCCCTGCATGCCAGGGTTTGTACTGCACCCAAGAATGGCCCTGCTGTAGCCAGACCCCTGACCAGATGTTTCACCAGGAAGGGAGAGTGGAAATGAATGCCTATTAGGAGCAATTCTTTCTGTTGGATGGATCTGAAAGTGTCAAAATTTTCTGAAATTTCTTAGGAGTGAGGAGATACTACTGGGGCAGGGAAAGGCCAGAAGCTAAAAAGACTAGACCAACGCAGCTGTGCTAGCCTCTAGGATGAAGGTATCAGGGGCACACGCGGAGTGCTACCAAAGAATCCTGGAGCAATGTTTCTGTGAAAGAAACAGACAGGTGGAACAGTTCTTCAGTTCTCCATATTTTCTTTGCTTTTCAAGGTCTTAGCTTTTCTTCTATGTGGAAAGCAAAGAAGTGAGAGGTACATGTTTGTGCTTCAAAGCGAGTGCCAAAGTGAAAGCAGGCACACGGCAGATCAGGCACAGAAGAGAGAAACCCTCGACGGAAAGATGGAAACGCAGGGAAGGCAGCTGAGGCCGCCGAGGCTGGCTGGCTCCTTCACCCAGAGGCTGTTCTTTCTCACCTTAACGTCATAGATTTTTGTTTTTCTTCCTGGACACTAATTAATAAAGTCATCTTAGAAATATAAGCTCTAAAGCTTGGCGAGAGTTCCCACCCACTGACTGGACTCCAACATATACGTGCCCGATATTCCATCTTATTCTAGACACAAGCGATAGCTTGTCAGTAGCACCTTATATTTATACAGCATTTCAAAGTTCATAAACAACGTTCGTATAAGACATCTCATTTGAATTTCACAATGACTCTTCTGAGATAAGCAATAGAAGAAACTCATTTCATACACAGATGCAACTGGTAGTAGGAGAGGTAGAAGACGTATTTAAATCAAAGTTTCACGATTAAAATAACATTCTTCACTAATATCAAGCCAGTGGACACAGTTTTGAAGTTGAGACTATCGGGAGAAGAACACAAAAATGAGATGCACAGATACTAAGCAAGAGAAGAAGATGAAAGTATGGACATCACACACACACACACACACACACACAGTCATTAAAATTGCAATTTGCTAAAAAGTATATACATACTTCAGGAAAAGAAAAATAGAAGGCTTTTTTCAGCAGATAGTGTTACCCTTGTATGGGAACCCTAGCATAATATAATTTGCCATATATTACAGAAAACCTTCTACACAGCCAGCTCTCAGAGAAGAAATTGGACGTGCATGTGCAGCAATCTCGGTGATAAAGGTTACCCAAGCAACCAGATTAATAAAGGTCTGGAAGCTAATGAGAACCACTTTGAACATCTCTTAAAGTTGTTGAGGCCAAATGTAAGTTGTATTAATCTCATGATATCTCAGTAAGTTGAGTATAAAAACATTTTTTTCCTTAAGTGTGCATACATTTTTGGAAGTCTACATTTATCTGACCATACAGACTTCCTTAGTATAGTTCATAACTTAGTGTGACTTATAACAATATCTTTTCAATGTAATTGCATATTGATAAATATTCGTTGCATCAGATAACCAATAATCACCTCTACTTGCTTCCATTTTAAATTATTTTTGGAATTTGACCTATAATTCTAAGACATATTTGTGTGGCTCAGGATATTCTAATTTTATGCCACCCATCTTTTTTTTAATATTTATTTATTTTTATTTATTACATTTATTTATTGTGTGTGTGTGTGTGTGTGTGGCCAGCTCAGCCCACCAGGGGGCGGGTCTGGCTGGCATGTGGTGCTGGGGATCGAACCGGGGTCCCTGTGCTTTGCCAAGCTTGTTTCAAGTAGGTGCTTTAGACCACTGAGCCATCTCTCCAGCCCCCCATCTTTTGTTTAAAAATTCTATAACTGCAAAAAATGGGATCTATGTCTATTGGAAAAAAGTCACATTTATTTATTTATTTTTGATCTTTTATTCATTAAATTATTTGGTACAGGTTCTCACTACACAGCCTGGACTCATAGTTATTCTCCGGTCTCAGCCTCCCCAGTGCTGGGATTGCAGGTGTGCACCAGCACGCCCGGTTTGGGTAGCCAGCATGACGCGCCCTGGATTCTCGTGACAGCATGATATGTAGTGCCGGTAACTGAACGCAGGTCCTTGCGCTTGGCAGGCAGGCACTTAGATCACCAAACTATCTCCCTATCCCAAACATGTCGCATCTAATGCAACGTCTAGTTCAATCTCCATGCCCTTACTGAGACTCCTTCCTTGGACTTGCGTGTCTCCTTCTGCCCACTCCAAACCTGGCAGCTCTCCAGGCTTGAAGCTGGCCTGGTAATGGAGACACTGTTGCCTGGTGCCCATAGGAAAATGGCACCACCTTCCGACCTGTGGTCACTGGGTTGGTGCTGACAGTGCGTTGCGGCAAAGTGGTCAGAAGCACGACCGCTGTTCCTTGGAGTGTGTCATTCAAAATAAACCCATCCTCAGAAGGCCGGACTGAACGGGGTCTGGCGGGCCCATGCTGCCGCTGGGTGAGGTCACGGATCGGAGCTAAGTACTTCTGTCTGTTCTGAGCATCTGGTGCCCAGGACTGTGCTGGTGTGCGCTGAGCGGGGCCTGCCTTCCCCACGTTATTGTCCTAGCCAGATAGTGACTCACCCTCATCAGTTTGATTACTCAACTGGTCGCCCACTCGCTCAGGACCTATATTTAAGCATGGCTGGCAGCAGCATGACTCTGCATTTCTGTGGTTCTGCAACTGAAAAGTTACTCTGCGGAGCTGGGATGCTGCTCAGACATTATCTAATTAGCACCACTTCAGTCTTGCAAAAAAGACAGAAGTGGTGCTAAAAGAAAATGCCTGTGACAAGATAATTCGGTCACATCCTGAAAACTCGACTGGGTAACTCAGAAGAAGTTAGAAAAGGAACTGCAAGCTTCCTCTGGGCTGAGTTTAGGGGCGCCACTGCCCAGCATTAGCCGCACCAAAGGGGAGAACACTGCTAGCGGATCTCCACAATGCTCAAGAGTACAGCACGCAGAGGGTGGCAAGAAATAGAAAAATATTCTTGTCCCTTTGCTTTGTCATCTGTTTACCAAAAATAGATGGTTAGCTTTAAAGTAGTTATGCCAAATTCTTCAAGATCTTAGTGAGATATCGCAAGGTTCTTTTCACACATCGTACTTCAAGTTGAGTACTAGTAATTAGTCTCAGCTACTGGTGTTCTCTAAAGCACAGGTTTTTGGTGTTCTTTGAAAAGCAGTATCTTGTAATCCAGCATCGCTTCACTGAGGGCCTCCTCAGCGGCAGCATTTGCTACTGGATGCTTTCTAGTCCTCGTTGCCTCGTACTTTATTGTCCTGAAGGAGGAACTCCACGAATTCACACAGAATTAGGGGGGAGAGAGAGAGAGAGAGAGAGAGAGAGAGAGAGAGAGAGAGAGAGCAAGAGAGCATGTGAAACATAAGTGAGTTTATAAATGCTTACTGTAGCTGCCCAGGTCACACTGAAAAGGAGCAGTCTCACATAGACAACTTGCATCTTTGAGAATTTCTATGAAAAAACAGTGATATTTTATTCTAAGTTTTGCCTATTATAAATTGCAGCCATTAGCAAAGAAATGTAAAATAAACATCCTTCTTCCCCCAGCAGTCCATTTCTTCTTTACACTACATATTAATTATATATTAAACATATACTTTCACATATTTTTATAGTTATATCTATAAAATTAGTATTTTATATACACATTTTATATAATTTATGTGAGCCCAAAGATGAATATTTTAATCTAAGAATGTCCAAATGTCTCCTTCCAATGTGAAGATTATTGAATATCATTAAAATAATAGTCAGGTGATGCACCTTGAGACCATAATGCTAAGTGAAGTAAATTGGATACACAAGCTGAAATGCATGCTTCATCTTATATGAGAACCCCAAAGTATGAATAAATTGCAGAGGAAAATAATAGATAATAGGAAACAGGAAAATAGATTTTTACAAAAGGGAAGAGGACCAAGAAATGGAAGGAAGAGGAAGAGAGGGGGGGAATGGAAGGAAAAAGAATCAAGATGTGTTACATATATGTGTGAACATCCAGTGATAAATACCAAAGTGTCCTGTGATCAGGTAGTAATAAGAATAACATATTTAAAAAGAGATGAATTTCATAGTCATATTTGCTAGCTCTGTTTTTTTCTTTTAGCTTTAGAAAGAGATCATTAAATATTTGTATAATTTGAAATGACAAAAAGGTCAGTGACAAGAAGGTCACATAGCGACAGTGTCAAAGTAGCATGCACCACTGTGTGGTATGAAATCTTATCTGGCGCCCCACTGCCTGTTCTCAGATTCAGTACAATGTGGCTGAATCAGTCGTTATCCGTGAGATGGGAAATAAAACTATTTAAAACATTAATAGCTAACACTTATTAAATACTAAAACAAGTCCCATAGTCTTCTAAGAATTTTGCATATATTCAATTATTTGACCCTCACAACACCCCCAGAAGTGAGGTGAACCTCTAGGTGTGAATTTTGAATGGCTAGATAACTTATCTCAGAAATCACAGACGGGGACAGAACTGAGTTAGTGTCCAGGCAACATAGCTATAAGCCAGTGCTTTCAATCAATTGCCTACAGTATCTCAAATAAGATTCTATTCTTTTGTTCTTTCACAGAAAATCTACATGTATCTAATTTAAATGTAAATTGAATTTTATATTGGGTGCAATAAAAAGATGTCTAAAATGATGTTTAGTTATGAGTAACAAGTTTTTTATAGTTTGATAAATATATCAACAAGATCTAGTAAGTTTCTTTAGGTCAAGTAGCCACTAGATTGACAAAAAACCTCAGCATAGTTTGGACTAGTGATCCTTTGGTTTTAATGAGCATTAAGTATTTTACTAACATAGACATATAGCAGCCAATATTAGAGTAATAAACACCATTCTTTGTGGCTACTTTGAAGTAAAACATTTTTAAAGGGAAATATACCAAATATTCTTGCAATGTTTAAGCATTTCAAAATAAAAGCTTTTACTTGGAGAAATAAATAAAGCCATTAAATATATTCTAAAGTCTTAAGCTATTTTCTTCTATATTAATACAGTTTCAAGGATCTTAATTCAAACTGTGATTTAGCCTTCTATACAACCTATCTATCAAGACGGTGTAAGCCACTTATCAGTAAGAATACCAGAGTAGCCCAGTTTGGTTCTTGATGAAGCTGACCGTCAAATCAAAAGTTGCTACCAAAGCATCCACTTTAGTTGATGCCATCTGGAGCTTCGTAACACGTTTCTTACATTAAAAAAGAAAGCACTAAATATTATAGAGTTGTGCTCAGCACAGAGTATTTCCAGTTTGATTTTATTTTCAAAAGCAGTAGCCCAGCCAACGTAGCAGGCATCTTGAAAATGTAAACCACTGTGATATGAAGCTACTTGCTATCAAGAACAACGTAAGAGCCAAATTACCTGGGGTCTTTGACCTTCCAAAAACCTGGCTTCTCCTGAAGAATGAACAGTCTCTGGGCATTTTGCTGAAATTTAAAGTTTGTTCAAGTTCCCAATGTCCAATCAGCACTGGCCCACTGAAAACTAGCAAGCAATTTGTTATGTGTGCCCACAGATAACCACAGGGGGCAAAGTAATTTTAATCTAAAAATGTTTTTGTGGTGGCAAGGTGCTATCAAGTGTTCCAGAAAGTGGGATAAACAGAAAATATAAATACCTCAGCTTGGACATCATGTTGTCAGATAATTAGAATTGATTTGGGAACTATTAGTTAGGACTGACTGAAAACCTGTTTATAAGTGGAAAATATGCATAAACAAGTACCTCTATACATAAAAAATACCTTTTCTTATATTTTATACAGAAACCCTATAGTCTCAAGTTTCTTCTCAATGAAATTAAGAAGCATTTAGGAAAAATGAAGTTCAGAAGCATTTATCAAATCTCCTACCATGGGGGAGGCACTAGGAAAACTAACAGGGTCTTCCCTATGGGGCTTCCCATCCAGGAGTGGATGAAGACATTAGACAGGTGAACAGCTCATGTATGTTATATTAGTTAGTAACAGAGGGAAAGTCTAAGAAAAAGGTACTGTGGGGAAAGTGGTGACAAACACTGGGAATGAGGACACCAGGTTAAAATTTTACGTAAGGAGTCCTGGAACAGACTCATTTAGAGGATGACTATGAGTAAACATCTTGCCATGCTTTGAATATATGTGTTCCTTCAAAGTCCATGCACTGGGACTGAAACCCAGTGTGATACAGGGTACTTAGGAAGCAACTAAATCATAAAGCCAAAACCTTGAAGGATTACAACACTATGAAAGGGCTGGAGGGACTGATGAGGGCCTTTTTGCCCCCTTGCTGTCCTGCTGTCTCCACATCTATGGAGAATAAATGAACATGCTTCTATCCTGCAAGCAGAGGTAGCAAGTCCCTACCAGATACTGAACCTGTCAGCATTTCGATGTCGGACCTTCAGCCTCCAGAAGAGCCACAAATAAATGTTTGCTTTTTATGCATTACCTGGTCTGTGGTACTCTGTTACAGCACCATGCACAGACTGAGCAGACTTGTAGACTCTATTCAGGAAGCGTGTTCCCAACAGAAGGAATAGGGGGAGCAGTACCCAGAACCAAGAGCCTGCTGTCTTGTTCCATATTCAGAGACATGGTCATTGGCTAGCAAAACTGAGCTACTATTGCTACAATAGTAGCAAATGAAGTCAGAAGAGTATCAGGTGCCAGATGACAGGGGACCTGGAGGTCATCCCAAAGATTCTGTCATAACCCTGAGGGAGAAGGCAAACCCCTGGAGGTCTCAGCACTGATGTGCTGGAAGGTGAGTTTGAAGCAGGAAAAAAGATCAGCTTCAAGTTCCTGAGAAGGGCAGAAAGGAGGATAAGTGGCTGTGATCTGATATGCTTTGGAATGAAAAACGATAGGATTCCTGGGGCACAAGAAGTGGGATCTATGGAGCAAATCAGGACTCAGGATGACACCATGCTTTTGTCCTGCAGCTGAAGGGTGAAGCTGCTTTTTATTGTCCAAAGAAGAGGACAGTTTGGAAGGAAATACTGTGTGTTTGGACATGCATTTTATAAAACATGGTTAAGTTAGGGCACTGCATTTCTTAATGAAATAAATAGCACGCCCATTGGGAGCCAGCTTTTCTAGGGCAATTGCCCGTTCATTGGTTTTGTAGAAACCAGATACCAAATCCATGATTGAGGTTCCCCTCAATCTAAAACCACCTGGAACACTTAGTGGGGTTATTTACACTGGTATGTATGCAAAAAAAAATCAATAAAAGGTTATGTAAGAACTGTTTTATGATAAAAATTCCTACACTTAAACAAGTTTTCACATATTATACACAATATATAATCAAATTTAAGCATAAGTCTCAATTTTTCTAAACTTCCAAATTAGATAGATAGATAAATAAGTAAATAAATAAAACATAGCCCTTAGGCAGTTTTGGCTGAGAGAAGGATGTCTTTTCTATTTATTTATTTATTGTTCATTATTTATTTATTTTTGGTTTATGCAACTTTACTGAAAAAAAAATCGATCTCCGGCAGAGCTTTAATTGATCCCTCACCCATTACAACTTGCATCATTTACTCAGCACTGTATTAAATAGTGTATTGGAAGACAGATTCATAGCTCCAGGCCTCTTAACAATTTAAATGAAAGTTCTAAAGTGTTTTGAGACCCTATTTTGGAATACAGAGGGTGTTTGAGTTCCAATTTCCATTACAGAACAAGAAAAAGTCATTCCTTTATTGACATGCATAAAACACAGCACATTTTCTACTGTGCTGAGGCTATAAATTCAATACCAATTTTCAGCCACATCAGTTATGAGCATAAAGTATATCACATAACTTCAAATCTCTAACAGTGGAAGGTTTAACAAGAATGGATGCTGCAGATTCAGTCCTAGCCCAGGCCGGGTGAGTGTGTGGGAGAGCTTCCCGCTACCCTGCGGGGTGGGACCTGCCTGTCCAAACCCAGGTGCAGCATTGATGAGACCCTCTTCCACCCCCTTGGAACCCCCCTCACCACTCAGCAGCATCCCACCCCCACCCCACCCTTGCAGTGAGAATTTCTGCTGCTCTGGGGACCCCCAGATCCAGTCCTAGCCCAGGCCTGGTGAGTGTGTGGGTGAGCTTCCTCTCCCCACTACTCCACCATGTCCCCTCCACACTCAGCTCAGGCCTGGACTACAGGCCTGGGGTGAAACCCTGCAGCTGAAATCCCTGCAGAGAGAGTAGAAAACAGAACCACCCAGCTAGTCCAGGAGCAGAACATCTTGCCAGAGGGGCACAACAGGTTCACTCCCAAGGGCAGCAGCAGGAGGGAACTGAGCACAGCAGCCAGACCCAAGCCAGGCACAGCTGGATAAATCCAAACTTTGGAGATCTACACCTGAATTTCAGTAGGTGCTATGGTTATAACTGCACCAAAGCTCTACAACAAAGGCCAGAAGACAGTGCTACACAAAATGACAACAAGAAGGAGCAAAATGTAATCTCAGAACCCAAGCTCACCCATAACAAGTGCAGAGGACACTAACACAGAACAAATTGGGAATCACACAGCTGAAATCAACGAATCAACGGCTTCTGAAATAAAGAAACAGCTGCAGAAAGATATAGAGGAACTCAGATTGGAAATGAAAAAAGAAATCCCTGAATTAATAACATCTGCACTAAAGAATCAAATGCAGAAACATATGGAAGAAACCCAATGCCCACCCAGAACAAGTGCAGAGGACACTAGCTCAGCTCAAATGCACGAATTAATAGCATCAATAGTAAATAAGCAACAGCAGAAAGTCATAGAGGAACTCAGAGCTGAATTCTTTTCTGAAATAAAAAAAGAATTCTGAGAACTCATAGCATCTGAAGTAAAGAATTAACTACAGAAACATAGGGAGGAAACCCAATCTGAAGAAAACACTGCAGTGAAAGAATTAATAAATGCTTCTAAAGAAGACATTGTAAAGAATGGATGCTGCTAGAATAATGCTGCTTCCTTGCCGAGATAACCAAGCATCCATCTCCCCCCTCAGATGGCTTCTTCAGCAGTTAGAGCTGTCAGGAATGGTTTAGTCTCATAACCAAGTTAGAGTGAAGACACTGGCCATATAATACACAAGCTCCATTTTTTAAAAAAGAATTCTGAATCTTGAACAACTGTTCTCTTGTAACTACTTTATAGTTTCCCAAAGTACTTATTGTCCAAAGCTGGAAGAACTTAAGTCTTTTCAGATGAGCAAGTGAATGAACGGAGGGAGGTAAACAAAAAATAAAATTGAAAAAGATGAGATAAGAAGCAGTTGGATAAGAAAATCATGAAAGGGGGTCTGGGGAGGTAGCTTGGTGGTCTAAGTGCCTATCTGGCAAGTGCAAGGATCTGAGTTCGATCCCCAGCACCACATGCTGTGCCAGCCACTGAAACCGAGCCTGGCGGCACATGCCTGTAATCCCAGAGCTCGGGAGGCTGAGACAGGAGGATCACTACAAGTCTGAGCTGCATAACGAGACTTCATACCAAATAAATACACCAATAAAAGATTTAAAAATATTTTTAAAAAAAGAAAATCAAAAAAGAAACAGTAATTTAAAGTTTATTCTGCTGTAATGTAGATTATTCTGAATTTAAAGTGGTATCACATGGTATACCTCTGAGTCCTTTCTTAAAATATGCTGTTGTACTTGTCTCTATTTTATAGATCCATGAAATCTTGCACTAGGGGGTCCCCTGGGTTTGGGCCACATAGCAGTGAACAAATGGATAAAAGAACTTTAGAGGGCCTCAAAGAGAGCTCAGAGGTCTAAGTGCCTGCCTAGGCAACTGCAAGGAACCAGATTCAGTCCCCGGCACCACATATTCCCATCCCACCCTATGCACGCTGAGCCGGCCACCTAGACCGGTCGTGGTGGCGCATGCCTGTAATCTCATCGCTTGGGAGGCTGAGACAGGAGGATCACTGTGATTCCCAGCTGCGCAGTGAGACCTTGTACCAAGTACATTTTTTTAAAAAAAAAAGAACTTTAGAAATAGTTAAAGCAGAAGACCACTGTGCTCTTAGAATAATGAGACAATTGCTGTGATTACTGTTAATATTTGGGTGATAAATTGTTATAAATGAAACCTTAGGTGGTTGGAAGGGTAGTCTGCAGGAAAATGAAATGTCGAAAAGAATACAGTGTAGATACAGGCTGTCATTAGCTCCCATAATTTAGACCTGCAGAACATTGTGCTGGACGGTCATAGAGGAAATCACTAAGTTCTTTATTAAAATGCCTCAGCGCCACAGTCCATGCCACCCCGGCCTTCGGCTCCCAGCGGTTCAGTCAAGGGCTTCTTCGCCGCATGGACCCATCCGCCAGTGCCGTGGCACGAGCGAGAGCAGCCCCGTGTGGCTCGGTCCTGGGCGGAGCATGGCCCATGCCACTCCTCATTCTCCTTAGGCACCTTTGACTAAACAGCCTGAAGGTCATGCCAGGCAGGCAGGGGCTGGGGGCCAGTCATCTTCTTGTTTAAAAAAGAGTATGAAATAGTAAAAAAATAAAAATAAATATCAGAAAAAAAAGTGATACAGAATTTAAATAAACAAAATATAGAAATTTGACAATGGTTGTTGTGTTGCACAAGGATGTCTTTTCTAGTTTAGAGCAAGCCTCTCTTTTTTGTTCTGTCCATATTCTGCAGCTCCTTTTTGGATATCCTGAGAGGGCATTTTAAATACACTCCAGGCTAAAATTCAAGTCTTGGGCTAGGGTCATTGTTCATCCAGAGCCATCCAACCATACATTTTAAAATATTTGAACATTATTATATGCAGTGGAGACTGTTAGCTCTGGAGTCAAACAAAACTGGTTCAAATTCTGACTCTTCCTCATTTACTGAGGTATACTGCCTAAATAACTAAGTTGAACCTTTCTGTTTCTCATTTTCTGAAAATGACAGCACAGTGGTAATAAACTACACTCTCAGTGATTGATTACCAACGTCTAAACATTGCTCCAAAGACCAAACAAACCAACAAATTGATGGTTCTCAGCTACCTGTAAATATGATGCAGCCACAGGTGACCGTAATTCCGCCACAGCTGAATGCCCAGCACCAGCCTGTGAATATCTTCCCGTATTCCGTGGGCGTCCCCGCCCCACTGCTGAACATCCAGCGCCACCCCTACACCCTCCCCCCACAGATGCCACTGCACATGCACACAGGTGTGCCCCTCGTGCAGGTTGCTGCTCCTCCTGCTGTAACTCAGGGACTGCCCCCACCCCCGCCCCCGCCCCCGCCCTCCCAGCAGGTCAGCTACCTGGCTTCACAACCAGATGGAAAGCAGTTGCAGGTGAGTCTGATCAGTGTAACTACACACTTTCAGCTGTCCGGGCAGATGCCCAAGAGAGGGCTCCGTGGCACCCAAAAATAGTTGTTTGCATTCATGATAACCTTTCATAATCCCTTTTTCCTTAACCTTTTCCAGTCCTTAACTCTGGCCTCTAAGCAAGAATATGGGAGTACATATTTACAAAAATACAATCTGTACATGTACCATTAACCATAGCCAAACACATCTTCCGTCAGATTCAGAAGAATTATGTGCGTGCGTGCATGTGTGTGTGTGACCAGGGATGGAATTTGGGAGCTTAATGCTTGCCAGGCAGGCAAGCGCTTACCCCACCGCGCTATCTCCCCAGCCCAGAAGACCATGTTTTTAATTCCTGTAATTCTAGCACTTGGGAGGCTGAGGCAGGAGGATCTCAAGTTTGAGTCCGTCCTGGCTGGGCCTGTACAGAGAAACCGTGTCTCAACAAACAAAACGAAACTAAATAGAATCTAAAGACCAAACTACAAGTCAAAGTGCAGCTGAGTGGAGGAGCAGGAGCGCTCTCCCGGTTTCCTTGGCCTCTGGCCAGCGTGGTGGGAGCTAGTGACCGACCACTGTGGTCAGGCTCGCACCATTTTGTTCCTGCACACACCATAGAGAGCTGTTCCTTGCCGTGTGCGCTTCATTTTCATGTTCACGAACTTAACATGCTAAAATGACATGCAGCTACCAGACAAACGCTTGAGTTGTTTGCAAGCATTTATGTTGCTTGCAGTTTCTGAATCGTAACAAAAGGATGGAAGAGGAGGGAAGCGGTGTGTCAGCTTGGGCTCCTCGCCGTGTGGCCACCACCTTGCGGCCGCCTGTGTCCTCCAGCCCCGGGGCGGGCCCTGGCTGGCGATTGCAGCCTCTCGCCCTGCCCTCCTCATGCTCCTTTGAGGACATGGCCATGCGCGTGTGGCGCGCTTACTCGGCTCTGCTCCAGAGCCTACTCCTTTTCTTCAAAGAGCTGATGTAAAGGAACTGTCATACCAGCGCTGAATAGCTTTTTTAATGTTTCTAATCCCTGTCTGAAAGACTGCTGTTAAGTGACTCATTAACTTACAGTGGCTCTCTACGACAGGGTATTCCGCCTGCAGCCTCCCACGTGAGTACTAACTCGGGCACGCCGGCCCTGACTGCTGCGACGGCAGCCCCGGGAAGTGCGGGCACCGCTCAGGGACCAAGTTCTGGTAACACTTCGTCATCGAGTCACAGCAAAGCCTCTAATGCTGCTGTAAGATTGGCAGAAAGCAAAGTAAGTGTTACGGTGGAAGCCAGCGCAGATAGCTCGAAGACAGACAAGAAATTACAAATTCAAGAAAAAGCAGCACAGGAGGTAAAACTGGCAATTAAGCCATTTTACCAAAACAAAGATATCACCAAGGAAGAGTATAAAGAGATTGTCCGGAAAGCAGTAGATAAAGTTTGTCACAGTAAGAGTGGAGAAGTAAATCCTACGAAAGTGGCAAATCTGGTGAGAGCTTATGTAGACAAATACAGGCATTCCCGGAAGGGGGGCCAGAAGAAGGCTGCGCAGGAGCCGGCGGCGGCAGCCGTGGCAGCGGTGGCAGTGGCGGAGCACGGTGCAGGCTAAGGGCAGTGCCACCAGGACTGGGACCCCTGCGAGGAGCGAGGCCCCGTGCTGCACCGAGTCACGAGTAACTGTGATGGAAACTGGTTTTGATAAAGTTATTTTTTTTAATGTAGGATATGATGTTTTGTTCTAAATAAATAGTTCTGCACTGCAACTTCCTGATACCCTCACCTCAAATAAGTAAATTCAAGGGAAGGTAAAGGTTTATAGGAGTGCATTTTTAGCAGGACTGTGCAGTAGGGTGGATGCTGGAAGATGTGCAGCTTTTGGATTGGACAGTGTAACTGGTGCGTAAATGAGAGGCCTGCGTGCACTGGTTTTGGAAGAGATATATGTATAATACATTTATTATGTCAGACTAAAAAATAAAGGATGAATTTTATGGCTTTCCCCCTCTAATTATAGAAAGTTAAAATAATGTATTACCATGAAAGATATTTCTAATAAATAGAATATACCCAGAAAAAAATAAATAAATAAACATTGCTCCAAATGCGTTGCATTAATTTATTCCATTCCTGTAACAACTCTGTGGTGTATGCTCTGATGTTCTGTTATGCTGACCCGGACTTCAGCAATGACGCATAAAGCACTTCGGGGACTTGCTCAAGTCATATGCTTAACAAGTAAGTTGCTGGTAGGCAGTTTGACTGCAAAGAAAGTTTAAAACCCACTGCACTGTACTGCCTCATAAATTTGACATACATGTTAAATTGTACAAAGTGCTCAGCCTGGTTCCTAACTTACAGCCCAGCAGGAAGTGGCTGCCCTCCCCACACAATCTTCCCTCGCTTAGTGACGGTCTGGCCCAGGTGCAAGCATTTGGGTCTCTGTCCTCTGCGGATTTTCTCTTCTTGTCTGCTTTTATGACTTCTTTAGTATGAGGGCAAACGTGATGAATTAAGAGTGGGAAGTGAGGAGAACACAGGGCTCTACTTTTCTAGATCTCATAAATATTCCTGCCCAGAATTTCAGCGAACTTCTAAGGATTTGTGTGACAAAGAAGACGAGCAGGAAATGGAAACCAAGGAAGAAAGGTTACCAAACTGTGTTTGTCGACTGTGAGTCTGAACAGAAGTAAAAAGCTATATGAATAATAGATGAGTGAAAACCACTAAAGGTGTTCTTTTAAAATTTTGGATATTCTAGTAGACCAGTAAATAATGCAGTGATTTCTGAAACAGTTAATCAGGCATGTGGTGTTTAGAGCTTTTACCTGCTTCCTGAGATTGTCTTTACATTGCAAGCGATTCTGTAAAAGCACAGGCGCCTGCCTTGTGTGGTGCAGCCTCCAAAAATGCTGACTTTTTCATTGTTTTGATGTTGCAGTTTCAGATCTTTCTAAAATGTGGTTTTCCTTCCTTCCTAAAGAATTTTCCTCTGTGAGAAATTTTTCCTTCATGTAGGTGATAGGAAAATATCTAATTCTGATACAGAAAAGCACGAGTTCTGGGAAGGAAAAAAAAATAGAAAACGTTTTTGTAGAATAAAATCGACTGAGACACTAGTCCTACCAGGGCATGAACTGGCAGGACCCTAAATATGTATGCTTTCAAGGCTAAAATGAATTCAAAGCTAAAAAAAAAAGAAATAAGAAATTCAAGTTGAGTTTTAAATTTAGAACCTACAATTGACAAAAGCAAAGAAAAATGAGAGCCTGTTCTGACGGGAAGGTTGCAGAGATATTCTGGGAAGGAAGAGAAAAGCGATCACTTGCTGCGGTTCTATGAAGGAGAGATTTTGCTTTCAGCCTCTCAAAACTTGGTCCATGTTGAGACTGAGCTTCAGAAACTTGAAAAATTCTGAGATGTTTTAGACAGTAAAAAGTTTTGCCATAACATTTCTTAAGAATAAATAACCAAAGATAAAAAAAAAAACAAAAAAAAAAAAAAACAAGCTTTGGTAAAAAGTTATCTATCTTTACACCATCTTTATTTAACAAGAAAAAACTAAAACCCATCAAACAAACAACAAAAAACAACCCAGGAAGCAACTGAGAAGGGCAAGAGACAGCATGTGACCTTTCTTCTGGTTGCTGTTTCACGGGGGGGGGGGGACCAACACTTCAGCAGAGCCGCCTGCAGCCTGGTGTCCCCGGCTGGGACACATGTAGGGTTGCTCCTCAGAGACCAGATTACAGATGCTTATGGAACTTTTGTGTCCTGTGGTCATCCTTTTCAGTTCTTACCTTCACGTTTGTGTGAATGATTATTTAAAATGTTTATAGATGTTAATAAGAAAATAAAATATCTTTTAAGATAATGTTTTGTCTTCTCATCCATTAGTAGGACCTCACACTCATCTCTTCAGTACTTGTGCTCTAAGCCCACTTGCTTGGATATAGTTTTCAAACTCGATAGATAGATAGATAGATAGATAGATAGATAGAGATAGAGATAGAGATAGAGATAGAGATAGAGATAGAGATAGAGATAGATAGAGATAGAGGTAGAGATAGAGGTAGCTATATCTGCATGGTCTAGTTTTCTATTTTGTAACTTCTGTATACAGATAGCAGAGTATTTTCTTTCTTTAATTCAATGGGAAATCTTCATGGTGATTTAAGGAGCAAAAAGGAGTCCCCTTTGAGTTACTTCCTCTTTACCATGCAGAGACTTAGTCTGTCAAGGCTTCAGGTGTTTCATAAAGGTATCCTTTTCACATTCATCTCCAAAGCATAATTTGTAATGGATGTGATGGCCTCATGTTCAGCAAAATGGAATATTTTTGTTTCAAAGGAGAAAAAAAGGAAGGAATATATAGACACAATAGGAGGAGAAATATCTGTCACACTCAAAATAGTATTTTTTAGAGAATGACTTTTTGCTTTTTAGGGCTAAGTATCTTTTTTCTAGAGGACAGAACATGGTATTTATCAATGAGTTATCCATTGTATTAGATGCATGGTAAGACCTTTTCTTACCAAATTAAAGCATATTTATGCTTCTAAGGATTTTTTCTTTTCAATTAAATTTAATTTTATTATTTCATTTTGGAAAGTAAAAGACAAAAGCAAGAATAAAAATCAGAAACAATGACAGAAACAGGGTAACATACAACAACACATATGTTACAGATTTTCAGAACAAGACTAGCTGATTAACAACGGTTGGTACATTATCTATTTTTATCATCAAAACTGTTGCTCAGATTAACAGATATGGTTATGTAAGATTGGATGCATGATTACATATTACTGCTTGTTTTCCGGAATATTTGTTCTTGTCTCTCTTGTTTTTCTTTTTGTCTCTTAAAAATTTATGTTGAAGAGAGTATAGTAATAATTGATATGACATTAGAAAGTGTATACATGTAGAAGATCAAGATGACAAGTATTCAAGCATGATTTTTGATGTATTTTTATACAATGGAGTATTACTCCACTAAGAAAGACAAACTCAAAGCCTTCACAGGTAAGTGAATGCAACTAGAGACTATATTCATAAGTAAAATAAAGCAGACCAACATGTGTAAATATGGTGTAGTTTCCCTAGTGTAAGAACCTGATAGAATAAATAAAGCCTCAAAGTTATAACAGATATTAGAAAATGAAGAGAAATGGAACTTAAGGATTAAACAATGAAGATGAGAGAAAGGAGAAAAGATAAGAAAAAAGGCAGGGAGAAGCATGCAAGTATATATACAAGCTGGCTGAGGTGATTGTACTAAACATTTCCATCAGCTTTTTGAAAATAGCAGTTAATGTGTAGAACTTTCACCTGGACTAACTCTATATGCTGATATTTGCAATCTAAGCAACTATATTGAGGACAACAACGTGTAACACAAAAATCTTTTGAGATTTTTAACTTCGTGTTTATCTGCATTGTGTTATTTTCTTTTTGCTTTTATTTCATAACATGGATTCTTATCAATCCAGACTTTTCTCTATTGTCAGTTTCTATACCAGTCAGCTACCTATTGCTATTTAACACAGCACATCAGCATTTAGCAGTCCCAAACACCCTGTACAGTCAGGGGTGAACAGGTACAGCAAGCATCCCTAACCCATCCAAGGTGGCATCTCAGGCTTCTGCATCTGACCTCTTTCTGCCACAGAATACACTAAGGCTCCCACATGGTGACTCTGGACATAATGCACTCCGTGTGCTGCAAGCTCATTAGATGGATCTGTGTTCCATGCATGTTCCCCTTTCTCAGGAGGCTCTCTCCTGCTTTGTGAGCTCCAGCTCTCAAGAGCAGAAAGCATAGATTACATGGACAGTTTTGTGGGCTACAGTTATCATGGAATCACTGCATACTAATCAAGGCAGTCAGAACTAAAGGATGGTAAGAGATAGTTTTCACAGGCAGATGAACAAGGAACAATGCCACATCACAGATGAGGTTGCAGAATGGGAGCAGCACCATTGTGATAGCAAGCGGAAACAGCGAAACAACGCTCAGGATTGGGAGGCAGATTTATTCTATGTCAATAGACATTTTTTTTCTATTTAAATAATTTTATTGAAAAACAAATAGCAATGAGATAGTTTCAAAACTGATTACTAGCACAGTTTCAATAATTAATACATTGCATATTGTTGTCTTGGCAGTTATTCATTATACAAGATGCAGACCTGATAGCCTGTCCACAAACACTATTCGAACAAATCTCTCTTTTCATTGCATTAAGAGAATGCAGTTTTATATCTATCCTAACTATTTTGAATATGCAGATACAAAATGGTTGTTCATTTGTATCCTCCTTTTTTGTTTAGTTTTGTCAGAGAAAGGTATTCTATTATCGTTTAAATATTGTAGGTGCATGAATTCAGCAAAATATTTAAATATAGTCCAGTAGTCCATAATAGTAGTGGGTTTTCTGTAGAACTGGCAATGTCAGAAGTTGTTGACTTGGGCCTTTTACAACTCAGCATATTAAAATGGCTTTATTTTTTATACTTCGTTTTTATATTTTTCTGTTGGATGGTTAAGACCAAGATAAAGCAAGACCTCTATAACAAGAAATATAAATTTCATATCTGATAAGGTCAGTCAAATCCCCTCAGGATTTATCCTGAAACCCTGTACCACACTTTGTAGATCTTTTGTCAGTGTCAGCCATGTGGATGAGTTACAGCCATTGCTTGACAAACTTGCTCTCCGTGAAAGCCTGAGAGAGTGTTTTCTCTCCATGTGACTCTCCTTAAGCACATTCTATATTGTCCATCACTTTCCTCTGTGGCCCCTCTTTGATCAGAAAATTTGGGCCACAACTGAGTTACATGATGTTACAGTACAGGTTCTCCTATGTCCTGAGTCTTCACTGACCTTGAAAAGCTAGGGCCAAAATGTTGGCTGTCCTTGCAGCCCCTCTTTTTCTCTAATAATTGGTCTGCAAATTTAGGTTGCTAACTCTCCAGAAGAGAAGCTTATTATTATTACCCTACAACATAGGCAGTTGAGCTTTACCTCACTATCTGTCTGAATATCAAACATCTTAGGCATAGCAT